AAACGGCATACAAGTTTACATAATATTGTAAGTCAAAGCAACTGTGTTTAATTTGTCTTTTCATGGAAAGATACAGTCCCTTTAGTATGTCAGTGAAAAGGCAACTTAACCTGCCACCCAGGGATTAAAATGCCAGAGCAAGACAGAGATATTTGTGAAATTAAACATTTTTCTTACCTTCATTATCTGAAATGGCCAAATGAAGGCAGCAAAGCATTAGGAGCAAAATATTTAATAGAAGATTTCCTGAGCACTCAGCAAAGAATAATACCGGGCAAGCAATTTGTATTAACTGGGAAAGCAGCTATTTATACCAATAACAATAATACGTACCAATATTTTTGATACAGCTTCAGAAAAAGTTCTTGGTTCCCTAGGGTTAGGTATTTTGAATGTCACTGCCTGTACTGTAGCAGCAGACTCATACAAAAAATGCATGGAGCATTGCTCTTGGCAAAACAAGTAGATGTCAAAGGTTGACCTTACTTAAAAATAATACCAGGAGTTTTGAGCATGTACCTGCATTCAGCAGGTTTCTTCTCTACCATGGTAACCCACACTTACAGCAGATTTCCTGTCACAAAATAAATCTGCAGAGAGTAGTTCATTGCAAATAACTTTCTCTAGATTGTGGAAAAGTCAGTTAAAGGCGTTTCAAAGTAGCTTGGAATTATTATCTTCCATTCTTTTTGCTCCCTGCAAGTGCTCTTTTGCTTTCTTAGAGTGTTATTTCCCTTGCAATAGATGCTGACTGGTGAAAGCTCTGTTTTGCTTGCCCTGGTAAAGGGTCTTGACAAGTTTTAGCTCATCCGTTTCTAGAGGGTTTATTTGAGTGAGTCATGAGGTTGTTAGGGCTGTTTTTTGGTTTGTTATAAAAAATTTAACTGGATGGGAAGGGTGTTGGAGAAAGTGGGACGCTTTTCCAAGTTGGTAGATTCCTTTGTTAGCCGGCAGGAGGAGGGCACTGGTGCGAAGCTACACATTGCCACCCCGTGGCCGGAGTCGCTCGGCTGACTGCAAAACACGGAGTGCTCGCACCTAATTAGAGCTTCAGGGTCCTGAAAAAACGTGAAGGGGGCTCAACTTCTCCAAGCAGGCAAAAGTCGCAAAAATGGGGACATGTAGCCCTGACATCTATTACGCCAAAATGAACTGCTTATCCATGAGAGGGGACAAGACTGCCCTACCTTGCAGAGACACACACAGAACATGCAGAGTTTGGAGTGTCTTTTTATTGAACCAGGAGAGAGGGAGAGGACAGGCCCCTCACTGCTTGAGTACAGTACTCAGTATTTTCCTCTTTGGAAATGCGAGCTTCTACAGGAAGACATCGTTTCCAGTAATTAAGTATTAATTAAGTATAATACCATCACTACAATTTCCTTCTGTTCAATCCCATTTTAAAATGAAGGGGTGATATTTGGGAACATGTCATTTCTGGATGAGAAAGCATTATAAGCATCTAGCTCTATATCTGACAAAGTTCTGCACATGGAACTGCTCACAGGCACCAGTTTGTGCCAGTTCAGGAAGCAGAAAATTGTTATTTCAAATCAAGGAGAAATACCTACAGTGTGTCAGTTCCTGCAGGGCTTTTAGCAGCTCAGCAGCACTTTTTGGCTCATTAAGAGTATCAAAACTTGTGATCAGCTACATAACTCATTCTGAGTGGAAGCCTTCTGAATCTTCATGCACATCCTATGTCTGTTTTTCATTTATCATTCAAATATCCCATTCCTGTCTTTTCTAACAAACAGACTCTGCAGAGATCTGATTTTATACCCTATCTAGGAGGTATCTAGACTCCGGGCTATGCAGCCTTTTTGCTTCACTATGCTGGAAGAATGTTCTACCAGTCATCTGGCCAAAACTGATCATTTACCTAACAGCTATGGGAAGACAGTTTTATAATAATCAGATTTCCATTCAATAAAGACTCGCACCAGGAAGCTTATCAGGTAAGATTCATCTCCCACACCTCTGGAATTCCATATTGCAGAGCATTTTCTGATGCTAAGGAGACTAGGATCATCTAACAGGTGTCTCCTGCAGGGAAGATGAATCCTACCACTCCTCACTGGATGAACAGGACTTATCAGTATAATCCTTCTATCCAAAGTCAGTTCCTCACAGAACTCGAATTCCAGATTTGCTGTTCAAGTTCATTAATTATATTTGTTATCTCAGAATCATAAAATGATATTGTGCTCCCTGGAGGAAAAGATGTATTTAAAGCTCAAACAGGTTTTGAAGAAGCTTTTAAAAATTAAACATGCCACTTATATATATAATAGAAATGCAGTTCTTTGAAATGCTCTGCCTGTGATGTACTTTAACCACATGCAGTAGCAAAACAGAATTCCCACATCACCAGAGCAAGGAGAGAATTCAGATCCTGCCTTTCCAAAAACCAGATACATTTTTTATACTGCTCTACTGGTTTCAAGGGAATGGTTAAGAAATTCCATGTACTATACACTGCCTAAGCACAATTTAACACTAAAGGATTATTAATAATGTAGAACAAGATTGCTATGAAAGCAAAAATTCTGTGGAATCAAGGCAACAAGATGAAGTAGCTATGCAAGAAGATAGGCCTTATCAGCAGAATTGAATTCCAGATAAAGTGCAGCTTCCCTCCCCAGAATACAGAGACAGCCTATGATTGCAGCAATCAGAATCAGCAAGAGGTTATAAATTTAGCTAGTCTGAAAACCAAATGAAATGGAAAATAGAATGTCAAGCACTGAATAGCAAGCTAATGAACAGAGAGGAGCATCCACAACTTTCACAGCTCTGAAGAAATCATACAGGACTGTTTTCATCTTATTACAAAGCTCCCATACCTTCTCAGTGATTTTTCATGGGCAGCTCCTCACAGCACTGACTCCTTCACAGCACAACCAACAAACTCCAACTCTCTCCTCACCCACCTAACCCACTCTTTTGTAGAACTCTTCTTCTTATTGGACACAGCTGTGTGTGGCCTGTTAAGGGCAGGTCTGTTCCTAATCTTTGGTGATTAGTACAGCTGCAGCTCCTCAGGTGGGAGACTACCTTCTGCACTATTTTCTTACATTCTATCCCTCCACACAGGACCTTCTGTTAAGTTTTCAGGTCAAGATCATGTGGGATAATTAATTTCCCATGCTTAATGGGACAGCATGACACCAGCATGAATCTGTCATCAAGTCATTCCTAAGACACCATTACACTAAAACTTTCAAATTTAGTATGTCAGAAGAGAAAACAAAGAAACAAAATGCTTATTGTGTAAAGAGCCTTCTAGGAAAAGCAAGTACAAAGTGTTTAATCTAAAATGCCACTTAGCTTTCTGGACCTTGAACTAAGAGCAGGACCATAGTGAGTTACTGTGACTAGCTCTGTCATCACACTGCTTCAAGGTAATTAAAAGGTCACAGTTATGATAGTGGCAATTATCCATTATATAGACCATGGAAAGACCAAGGAAAAAGATGCACTTCCCCTTTCCCTGGAGAGTATCTCAATTATATCTAGATCTATATATACAGACATGGATATGTAATATACATATAATACATACACACATATATATAATATATAATACACACACACATATACATATATGTTCTCTCTGTGTAGGAAATAAGTACAACTGACAAAGAATTCTAAAGGTCAAAAAGACAACAAAAATCAAATTCCTGAATGTATATATAGAAAGAATTCAGAGCATGCTCTGAATGACAGATCTTAGAAAAAGAAAGATTCTTAGGCAAAAAACCAAGGCAATAGATTACATAGCTATTGAGTTCTGAAAAAAACCAAATGAAGGTGTGTTTTTTACCTTTCCCCAGACCTCACAATATGAACAAACATAATACGTAGCCAACAGCCCCATCTGGTTTCTGAGACTGTACATGCAACTTCCAAAAACATTCACACTTCCTTTCTTTGTAGTATCTGTTAAATATAACACAAATCAGCATTTTCTGTAGAGTTCTTGAGAGATTAAAAAGGCATCATCTCAAAATTGACTTCTTTTGTAACTAAAGTAAAAAAATAAATTTTTCTGAAAAATATTTAGTTCTATGTAACACAATAAGAAAAGCTGTAATAAGTCATTGCAGACAATAGTGACAGTTCTGAAAAGGGCACTTAAATTGTCTTTGAGAATAGGGGAGGAAGGCCTTCACATGACCACTGAAATCCACAAAACTACTACTCATATTATGGGAGCCTTCAGTTCTACAAACCAGTTAGTTCTTAGTACAATATGTATGTAAGTCTTTTTGAATTAGAAGATAAAGCTAGTTCCCATAAGTACTGCAGTAGATGAATTTGACAGAAAATGAGGAGTGGTGTCTGGGGAACTGGGTCAAACCAATTCTCAAGCCCATCTAACATGCTTGTACAGATGCATTTACTTGATGTCAAAAAATGTAATAAAACTAAGTCAGGCAAAGGAAGCCACAATTCATATTGTGTGGTTTTTCTGCTGTAACACTTTATTAAATATTTTTCATTGCATGTATGCATTAATTATTTTCCAATATCCATCAAGGCAGAAAGATATAGTGAAGAAAATTGTAGTTTAAAAAAGAGACCGTTGGGTTTTGGTTTTAGTTCACAGACCGATCCTTAACAAGTACAAGACTGTATCTTAAAGGCAATGAAATGTAATTCACTGTCATATAAACTGGTAATTTAGTCTGGGATAAGGAGCTCAACCTTACAGCACACAGATGATGAGTCATTGAATGCAGCCTGCATCCTCCTACAAAGCCAGTGCAGTATTTCCTTAGGTACTTCTGCAGTAGTTCGGCTGCATTTTCCAAAAATGCTTATGAACTCTTGTAACACCGATCAGGAGCTAAATTTATTCTCCTTACATTCAGCTCTGTTGCAAAGGTTCGTGCCTTTTGGTAGAAGAAGAGAGACATTTCCCTATCCACGAGGAAGTTATGGTAGATCACAGCAAGTCTGGTGTAAATCTTCAGTTGAGCTTTTTTATTGCCCAGGTCCATGGCAGCAGCGAGTGCCAAGTGGTAATACCCAGCTGCATCAAATGGGTCCTGAAATAAGAGGCTCAGAGATAGTACAACTGGTGCAAGAGGACTGCAGAGCTCAGGTATGTAAGCATCTAATTAAAATAGTATAGATTCTGAGCTTTTGAGGTTTTCCCAATTTACTGTTTACATTCCAAACACACAAAACCAGAAAATGGCAAAACCTGATTCTATGAAATATTACTCATTATAAAAAGTTGCTACACAAGTTATTAAAATTTCTTACCTTAAGGTCATAGAATATAATATCTCCTAAGATTGAGTACACCTTGACATAATAGAGTGTTTCCTCCTCAAACTCCAGAGGAGAGGAACAGAGGGACAAGGCCTTTAAATAGAAGTGTTCAGCCAGTTCACAGTGACCCAAATGGTGATGGATGGCCGCCAGGCGATGGTAAGCTATTCTTTCATTTAGCTGATTTCCTAATGACATAATGTAGAAGTCAGGACATAAAAAGAGAGACAGACTACTCAAATCTATGCTACTTTTTAAAAATTCTATGTTGAATTTGCTGAACTGTTATTGAAAAAAAAAACCCAACACATTTGCTTAAGAGATGCATGGTCAAAACCTGGCCTTCAAGAAAAATTCTATGAAACTTTTGAATTTTCTCCCATTGGATTTGACAGTGCCTGGGATTTTAAGAAATATATACATTAAAGATTAATGTAATTATTATAATATATATATATATACACATATACACACTGTGCATACTTACAAAGAATACAAAGGAATTATTATGAAAGAAAACGTTAATGGGAATAAAGACTCCCTTGACCATTCCAATATATATTTTACATGAAAATTTATGACAAAAAGATCACTTTCAGACTTATCAAAATGGCCTGTCTGCGCTTGTACAGAGGGTTAAGAAGGTTCTTAATCAGCTGAACAGCTACCAAACTTGAACAGTCATTTTGAAACAAGATCTATAACTTCTGATTTTTCCATCTTATGTTGTTCACATTCAGAGCTTTGGGCAAATCTGAAAGTACTCTCAAAAGCCCCTTAGGACTATTTTATTAATGAGTATTGTATCTTAGCTCTTAGAAGAACACTCAGTTTGGACATAAAATTCCAGGTTTGATTCTGTAGTCTACCAAAGGTTTTCCATTTGATCCTAAGTTAGAAGAGTAAGAAGTAAATTGCTCATTCTTGAATAGAAGCAAAAAATAGTAATTATAGTAGTGTTATGAAATCCTGGCAAGAAATTACTGAATGCAAAGGAAGAAAACTAAATTTAGAGTTCTGTTGTATTTTTAGAGGTATCACTCATACTCAGCTACAATGGAAATTGTTCTTACCTAATTTTACACTGATGACAAGAGCTACTCTTGCATATTCCAGACTTTCTTCATAAGCCTTCAGATTCATCAGCAATTCCACCAATTTATTGCATAACCTGAGTTCAGTGGTTTTGTTGCCAGTCTGAAGAGCAAGTGGAAGAGCCCTGTCCTGAAACACACAACATCAGCTTAGGTATGGCTGAACCCCAAGATGTGCACTGACAGCTCTCATTTATATTAAATCAAGTAATTTCTGTTTTCATCTTCCTCTTTGCTTAGAACAGGTCTTGCAACCAGAAGTGGATTTGAAACAGGTGATACCTGCTAACACCATGACAAGTACTCACTGGAACAGTTTGCTGAGAGGTTCATCTTTTGGTTCAGCATTTATAGAATACCTGCTATGGTGGGAGGTACATAACTATCAATGCAGCAGAAAAACTGCACAAACCCTGTAGAAAGTCACTGCTTTCTCCTTTTCCCAAGTACCATTGAAAAATATGTCTCCAGCAGCTTCAAACAATTCCATTCCTAAATTTGGATCTCCTGTGCAAAGAGCAGCATCCTGAGCAACCTGAGAAGTAAAAAAGGAATGGGGAAGGAAAGAAAAAAATTAAATCTTGTTTATTCCATGGTTAAAAAATTCATAAGTATTAGCAATTTTAAAAATATCTTTTTATTTTCTCTCCTATTATAGTGATGAGAAAGGCTATATTTGATGTAAATATGCCCCTTTTAGGTACCCTGTCTTTGAACAAGCCAATGGCAGGTGCTAAAGAAGAAACAAAAACCTGGTTACATTTTCTGGCAATAGTATCCTGCTATCTTCGTCAGCGCATTACATTCTAAGAACAGCAGTGTATTTGATAGCTGTCACGTAGTAAATTTGAATTAGATCAAACATATCATAGAAATAAATTCAAATTGCAAGTTAGATATTGCTAACGGCAGATTTAAAGGCCTGTAAGCTGATTTCTGTAAATAAATGCAGGTCCACTACTCTGTTCTCATAGATAAATACATCTTGTTAGCAAAAAGGATTTAATGACAGAGCATGCAAAGCAAGAATACCAGGATCCTCAGTTATTGACAGAGAAAATAAAAATGAAAAATGTGCCTTTTACAAAAGGCAAGGTTAAGAATCCTGCTCTGGCTTTGTCTTCTTTAGTTTTCAAATTGCATTCAGTTAATAAAAGTCCTTCTTTCTACTTGAGCACAGAGGTGTGCAGCACACACCCCTCTGCTCTCACACGTGAAAAGACAACAGCAGCTCCAGCTGGCCCTGTGTCATACTAGGCGTGGCCACAGCAGGAAAAATTCAGATGCTGTGGAATGCTTCCTAAAGAAGCTCCTCTGTTTTCCTGGGAATCTGGCCGACAAGCCAGCATGCTAAGGTGATTATTCTCTGTTACCCACCAGCAGGTAGCATGCCTGTGTCATGTAATTGCACGAAGGAACACTCAGAATCAACAGGAACTACGAAATGTCACTGCCCAAAATCCTTCCAGAATCAGGATTAGCAGAGGAAAATGCTGAGACTTTCCCCTTCTCCTGCTGAGCATTACATGAATGGTGGCACTAAATAATCAGAACATCAACTGGCAAAATGTATGGAATTTTTATATCTAATTACTTACTCTTACCATGCCACCTGCACAACACTGATACCACGTGCATGCCTGTAAGTGTGGACAATGTACCTGAATATAAAGATCCACAAGCTCATTCTGCCTCAGAACATAATAGATCTTTCCTGCCCGGAGCCAAGCATATGCCTCCTTCTCTTTTTTCTGGAGATCTATAAATATTCCAAGGCTTCTTTTGGTATATTCCAGAGCTGACCTGTAGGCCCTGAAACAAGGAAAAGTGCTAATCACAAAAGGTTCTTCAGAATTGCAAACAGTTTTCTTCATAGCAAGAAATGTTGCTGTAAGACATTCTGTTCCCCTATTTAGGGCACAAGTATAATTTCTCAGCTATATAACACTAGAAACTAAAGAACTCTTTTTTTTTTCCCTCTTTTGTTCCATCTACAATTCCTGTTAGATTGTTATTATATTGTTACATATGTATAACAGAATATATATTATTATATTATGTTATTCATACATTTTTCCTATTATATCTTATATTATTTCAAGATGGTTTATATGTATCCTTGCTCTACCTCAAACTTGTGAGAAGAAGAAAAATCTTTGGTCATCTTTAACTCTATCATTTATAGATTTTTACTAAAAATGTCAAAGAAATCACATCTATTTTTTTTTTTTTATAATCTATATATCTGACTTAAGTGTAACTGAGACTAATCAGCAATTGTTGAAAAAAACCCAAGAAACTGGAAAGAGTGGTAGGGCAGAGGAGAATAGGACATGTTATGATCTGTTCTAGAAGCACTCAAATTACCAGATTTATTGATGTTGTGGTGCTTTATACCTGACATAGAAAACCCAGAAATCTTAAAGCTTTCTCCATCTTGTGTTAGACTCCCATCACCTTGACCCAATGCATTTTCTTCTGAGCACAAGACACAAACGTATTAAAATGGAACATGAGCTGCACAGCTGTGGTGTTGGAAGAGCTGAGTTTCCTCGTTACTCAGGGCAGCTAACACAAGGAATACTGGGGTACTGTGGTCTAACACCATATTCAGTTGTGCTGTTATCTGGTGGCATGCTAAGGTTATACAGTCTACATCTGGGAGCCAGGCTCCTGGGATATACAAATTACATCTACTATGAGCACACAAAGCAGCGGCTTCTCCAGCTAGGGAAGACTTTCTGCAAATTCCAGGCAGCTTGAAATCTTAACCAACTCCTTTGTCTTCAGTGTCTCCAAAGGATGGTCACCAATAATACCATTGAAGAGCCCTAACAAAGCAAAATAAATTGGGTGACCTACTAAGCATGTTAGATGCTCAGACTACAGGCACTTAAAACTACAATAGGCATCTGTTCTCTTTCCATGACTGAGAAATTTTTTTGCATCCTTACTGAGGCAAGCTTGAAAATATCTGAATCAAAAGTAACTCCTTGAAATACAGCAAGAAAAAAAACAATCAGACAAAGGAGCCTTAAAAAACACTCTAAATATTATTAGAGAAAACTGTTTCGTCAGCACTTGCTACTATAATTTAGGTTGTGCGGTTTGTTATTCAATAGATCAGAGCAAAAATTTGGTATTTGGAAAATAAAAGCAGTATGGAAATTGCAGAAGAGCAAAATTATGCAGGTTTCCACTTTGGTTTGTACTTATATAAGTTTTGAAAAAAGCCCTTCCTCGAAGAGGAACTCTTACATAGAGGCAATTTAATGCCTGACCTGTTTGGAATATGTCCTTTGGTGCCTTAAAAAAAAAGTCTTGCAAAAATCCTTGAAAACAAATCACCTGATATAGCAATCATCAAGAGCTGCATAACATAATAGGTTTAAAATGTATTTACAAAGATTTTAAAAATAAATTGGTTTCTGAAGTAGTGCTAATCCTTTCAGAACATCCTGTCTCCCTTGAGAGATTGCAGTTACTTAAAAAGAAACAAGAAGATTCTCCATTAGCACTGGACGTTTGAATTCTGATAAAGTGTATTACCAAAGCAGAGAGAGGAGAAAAAAAAGAATCAGTCATATTCAGCTTTTGCAGAAAAATTGAGATCCTTTGCAGGATGAAAAAGTTAAAATCAGAATGAAAGAAATGTCATTCAGCATGTCTTACCTTTCTGTTCCTAAAGACAAATAGAGCTGACTAATAGTTTCTAAAATTTGTCCCTCCAGAACTTTGTTGGACATCTTTCTGGCTAAAGATAGTTGATATTCATTGTAGATGACACACTGAGTCTCATTGGGAGCAACTGTACTGTAGAAATGACACAGCAGTTTAATTGCTTGCAGCTGACCTAAGACAATAGATTGGAAAAACAAAAATGAATCTCTGTTTTAAAATGAAAGTGAATTAATTTTAAAATTATTCATTTTCACTGTTTCACAAATTACAGCACAGATCCTGAAAGATATAGGAATCTAATGATTTCTAGAATCATCCCACTGCCATTTAATTCACCCCCAAAGTTCACAAATGCTAGAGATTACTTCAACCTTTGTTTCCAAAATAAAATAGTAATAGAGTCACCTTTGCCTGCATTAGCTGACTCAGTTATGGCATGAAAAATAACGAAGTATACATTAATCTTCTAAATACAGATATAACACATGTATAACTAACATTCCCAAAGAGAGTACATTTTGTGACTTCTAAGAGACATACTTACTCTCCAGATGACTTGTCTCCATTGCAATTAAAAAAGCCCATTCATAGTAAAACCTTCCTTTCTCTCTTTCGGTTCCACCAACATAATAACGTCCCAGCTGAAGGAGGACTTGGATAAAATCTTGACCACAGTCCATAATTGGAAGCTTGGAGAATAGCTTAACTGCCCTTATAAAATAATGTTCTGCCAGCTTGCTGGCTGCTGCATGCAGGCAGAGTGCCCCAAAGTTGGCCAGGGCTATGGCTTGGTTATGGGTCACCTCAGTCTCTTCCGAAAGACGCAGTGCTTTGTAGTAGCTCTCAGCAGCTCCTTTTGTGTTGTTTGTCCTTTTCAAAGCAATGGCAAGCATGTTGTAAGCAATGCCAAGCTGGTGAGGACTGCTCCATGCAGAGCCTACAACAGTATTTAAAATGGCTAAAGCCACTTCATACTGCTTGTAAAGAATGTATAGCCAAGCAAGTGAAACCAAATAGTTGATCGTTTCCTCTGGCCTAGCAGAAGCAGAGTCCAGTGCTTTCATCATGTAAGCAACGGCTTTTCCATACTGTTTGTGGTGGCTGTACAGCTTTGCTAAGCTGAGATAGATAGTGCTGCACAGTCCTTCCTCCTCATTGGTAAAGACAGAAGAAAGTGCTTGTATGAGGTAAGGTGCAATTTGAGATGGGAATATTTGTCTGAGTTTTCTCAGGCCATATAGTCTGGGAGCATTTTTGATGACTAAATCAATCCTTTTCAGGGAATCCATTAAGGTACTGGAGCTCTGGGGAGAGGTAACCTTTACACAACTAAGTACAATGTGTGGCAAACACTTTTCATGGTAGGACTCCGCCAGTTTGAAGTAACAGTGGTTGGATAAACTGTTTTGTAAACCCAGGTCATTGAGCAACAGCTGAAATCTTTCCAAGAATGGCAGTGCCTCTTGGTGTTGTTTGCGTGCACTGTAATGTTTTGCCAGCAGAAAGCATGCCCTTGCCTCTGCATGTTTATTCTGGCTCAAAATTGTCCTCTTCAGAGCATACTTCAGTATATCTGATTCCAGGTCAGCACTGCAAATGTAATTGGGAATTCCCATGAGAAGAGATGCAGCCTTGTCAAAAATATGAGTACACTTCTCTTTGTTCTTCTGGGTCAAGTAGATGACTG